CAAACTTTTTTTTTGCCCAAAATGCAAGAGCTTGACTTGCATAACATATGGTTTCAACAAGATGGAGCCACATGCCACACAGCACACGTAAGGATGGACTTATTGAGAGGCGAGTTGGGTGAAAATTTTATTTTAAGTACGGCACTGGTCAATTAGCCACCAGCTATGTTAAATCTAATGTCTATACAGAGAAGCCTGCTTCAATTGATGCATTGGAGAACAACAATGAAGCATTTATTCATGGGATACCGGCCGAAATGCTGGAAAGAGTATACCAAAATTGGACTAAGCGGATGGACCATTTGAGGCGCAGTCACGGTCAACATTTGCATGAAGTAATCTTCAAACAGTAAATTATATGGACCAAAAATATTGGGTGCACAAATTATTTTGGTCCGTTTTCTTGTTTCTAAAAACTGTTTTTTTTAATTTAAATTACATCATTCAAAGTTTTTGCTGCTCTCACTTTCTCCTAACTCTCTAGCAATTTTCAACTACCATCACTTAATAATTAATTCACTCTGTCCTCGATCCACTCATCGAGCCATTCTTCTTCGATTTCCTATAAAGAATCCCACAGTTGTTTTGCCTCTCTTGAAACAAGATCTTGAAGATACGGTGGGTTTGATAAGACCACCAATGTTAACGTTTTAAGTTAGTTTCCGACCGTTACAGTGACGTGGGGCCGAGCATAAGCATCACCATGTCTTGCCTTTCGGTCGTTTCTGGCCGCTTTTCACGCAATGCACGCACGGCTTACGCATGTTAGTTGTTGTCGACAAAGCTTCGTCTGGGCTTGGCAGCATTTCTCATCCTTCAACTTTTTCGACACTCCTTGCCAGTGACGCTAAACTCACCACTTTTGATGCGTTGGAACCATTTCCTCGATAACTTAGCGGTTGGCGCAGATTTGCCATAAACTCCCGCAAGCTTTCGATGGGCTTTGGCTGCACTTTTTTCTTCCAATTTAATTAGAAAATCAAACCTTTCCGTTTTCTGCTGTTTATTTAACATAAATCCGGACATCTTCTCATGCTTTTAGTAATTATATTTTTATTAGTTACATTCAAGAACAACTGTGCTCCATCGATTTTTATATTTATTTATTTTGATTAATATATAGGGTTATCCATTTTGTGGTTTAAAAAGTACCATGCTGCATTTGGACGTATGTTAATATTAACTGTCAAACCGAAAATGCTTTGTTTTTCCTTAAAATCATGCAAATAGATCGCTTAACAGCCATACAACGCGTTAAATTTGTTAAAATCACTCAGACAAATCTCGACTGAAACGTGGCCACTTTTCGCGCTTTAAAAGGAGTTAATAGTGCACACAAACGTCCAACTACTCAAAGAATTAGTAAGACATTAAAGAAATTTTCCGAAGCTGGAACGGTTCCAGATATTGTGAAGGCTTTGCATCAACCTTCTAGTCCTTTCACCTCGAATACCGCTAGTGTAACTGAAAATGAGGACGAAGCCTTTTGGTCTTTTCTATTTCATGAAGCTCTCAAAAGATAGTACTTTCGGTAGATGGCCGGTATATTATGCCGCATTGGGACTTCCACCTACATCCATATATAATCCAACTCACACAACAACTAAAGACAGCTGCCCATTGGCAATGCTCGTGCTCGTATGTCGATTAAGTTCTTTAACAACCGAGCTGTTCACAACTTTTTAAGTCTAAAAACTCGTTCAATACCATCGATCAACCACCGTATTTACCGGATTCGGCCTCAAGCGACTTTTTTTGGTTTCAAAACTCAAGTTACCACTCCATGGCACTCCGTGGCACCCGTTACGACTCGATTAGAGTCATAAAAGAAAATTCGCGGAGAGAACTGTAGGCGATTCCGGACAGCGCCCACAAGGCATATTTCAATGATTGGAAAACAAGTTGCCATATGAGCATATTTTGAAGGCGGCAAAAAAATTTTTATTATTTACAATTTTCGGAAACTTCTCTGGCATTTTATAACAGCGTGAGGTGATTTTCGATCGAACTCCTTTTCCAATTTTTGGTGTTAATGAGTTCCATACAACTTTTGTCTAATCACACGTTCCCTACGTTGAATGAAATAAGTAGAATCTTTTCTCGAAATTTCCAATAATTTCAATCTACTGCAAATCTAATGGGTCCTTTGAGAAAACAAGAAACCTAGCTAGAGAGATTTCTGTTGCTACTCTTTTTCTTAGGCATTTCGCATTTTATTTTTTGACTGAAGTAAGTATGTAGCACAGATATTATTTTGATCACACAATCAAAGCAACGGAGAATAGCTAAATGAAAAAAAAAAATCCCATCACAAGTCAGTACAAAAGTAAAAGATTTAAAATAAATTGGTAAAATTCAAAATTTGTTGCAACTCAATATAGAAATTGATCTAATATGGCTGCAACTACGATTGCCTCCGTAAATAAAAAGTGCCCAAAATATTTATATATGTATATATCTACATTGATAGGTTATTCTCTTTCAAAACCCTGCAAGAATGGGCTGATGGGTTCACCAATACACTCACGCGATTTCGGGCAGCACTAACACATATGCATGTTTTTTTTTGTTTATCTTTCTCTTCTGAGTACATACAAATTGAAGAAGAATGCAGTTAAACGGATTATCCGATTTTCTTTGTTCTTATTTTCGAGCAGAACGCCATTTTTTATCGTTTTGTCCGCAGTAGATGGAAGTGAAAAATATACAAGCTATGTTAATAATATATTTTGGATTAATTATTGTAGTTACTCCATTTTTCATTGCTTTTTACATTTGTTTGTTTAAGGACACTCTAGTATATCGTTCGAAAAGATCAACTAATGGCGCAGTTTGACTGGAATGAACGCTTCTCATCTAGCCGCAGTAGCAGATTTAAAAATATTCCACATAACTTTGCGTTGAGGTACAACTGCATTTAGACATTAATAACATTCTGATTCGAATATTCATTTTTTTATTTTACTTAGGTATCTTTATACTTCAAAGGAGCTGCGATAATGACGGAGGCGTTCGTGGGGTTTATGAGCTGCGTCACCACCGCATGACACTTTTATAGACTTTTGTATATGCGTTTTTACTTACAATATTTTGCAGATTTTTAAAAATGAATTTATTGCTATATTATTATTTCTTTGTATGCTATAAAAACCATGTACCTGATCTATGTAAAAATATTGAAATAAAGACAGAATCTTAATAATGTTGGTATGTATGTATAATATTTATGTAGGGAAAATTTTTGTCAAAGCTGATTTCCTTCGGCATCAATGCTGTCGCTCAGCTGTGTTCCGTTTGTCCGACAAGAATGACAAAAATGAACGAGGAAACGAAGAGAGAATGACGTACACGTATACAAATGTAAGCATCAGGTTTGTCATTTCGGCCTTAAGAAAGTGAAAGGAAAATCGTTCTACGAGCTGACGGGATATGTCGGGATATGCTCTGAATCTATTACTGTTGGTTGATTTTGCCTATTGTATCGAGATTATCGAATAATTTAATTTTAAATGTCATAAATTTAGTTTTTTGAACACCTCCTCCCCCCAAAAATATTACTGGTCGCAATGAAGCTGTATTTTTTTGAAGACGATTTTATTAGTTATTTTTCTACGTAAGACTATCTGGAAGATAGGAATGATGAAGCTAGATTTCTTCGAGAAGTGAGATTTTCACAAAATTTCGTTAAATGAAGGCTATTTATCTCTGCAAATCCTAAAAACACAGCGTATTTATTGAAAAAAAATAGAATATTTTTCTCGACAAACGACAAACTACACAAAATGAAAATTTTTCCACAAAGGTAAAGCTTCTGGACTTAAGAAATGTGCCTCAAAAACGCTCAATTTACAGCTTCACGAAAAGTCGAGACTTACAAAATTCGAAGAAAAGAAATGATAAAGTATGACGTCGGCTATCGGTAGAAAGAACAAAACTTCCTCCATTAGTGGTGCGAAGAAGAAGTTTTTGTGTGTCCCCGGCTAATGACGAAGTTAGAAGAAGCCGGATACGAGCTTGTATGGCATTTTTAGAAATTGCAACTATCCACAAATGATTTAGCAACTTCTTGCATATCACAGAGTTTTAGAGTCAAAAATTCACTAACAATTCGGTTTTTGGATATGTCTATGATTTCTCTTAATCTCGGGGAAAAAATTTTTTCATTAAGAAATTATGGCCGATCTGCCGAGAAAATGCCGATGGATGACAGACAATTTTTTTTTTGCATCGCACTGTAAATAGCATTAATATTTTCTCAAATTCTATGAATAAAAATGGAAAACATAAAAAATGTTCAATTACAGTTCGAATTTATAGCTTAGTACAATAATTTTTTCATGTTAAAATAATTAAAGAGAAAAAATTTTACTTTGCCGTAGCATGGGCGTTTTTCTTTTATGAAGCGTCGATGATCACTAAGTTTTTCTATGCCCTCAGCTTAAGAATGAAATATCACTATTGCTGCTTGAAGTAAGAATTTTAGATTTTTTATAGAATCCTTATAAATGTTGTCTGTTAGCTTAGATTAATCTTATCTACCGTTTGAAACGCGTGAAAGCTTTTATTCGCCGCTCGGTAACTGATGTGCGGTAAGAGCCATGGTACATTCATGCTGAAAATTGAAGGCGATTATGACCATGATTCATCTGATGGAATGCATGACTTTACAGCAACCGACCTTTTGTGACCCTAAGCAACTGCATAAGGCGTTTTGTCAAAGTTAATTGAATACCTCGGAATTAGGTAGTGACATTTGAACGTATGTACATGCTAATTTGGCTTGCCTAACAGAGCTTGACTAATACTTGCCTTTTACAAACACATAAAAATTTAGTAGTTTTTGCTCTCATGGATTCTTTCCAATATTTTTTCCATTTTTTTTTCTTGAAATCGTAATTCTCATTTTCAGTTTTTGCCGTTTTTGCTCTTTATATTGTTTGCGATGGTTTTATCTCAATATTTTCTATGTATTACTTTTTATAATAATTTTATGCACTTACTCTTGGTGGGAAAGGCCGTTGGCCCCTCAAAGCCTCATGCAAACCGGAAGCAGCCTCCGAAAGTACGACTAAAGCTTGTGACGGCAAATGGCTGCTACCAAATGCGTTGCTTTCCATACTACGCGCGCGTCGGCAAACGCTCGCAACGAAATGCAAAAATTTTTTATGGCAAACACAAAATTTTACAAAATATTTGCTTTGTACACAATAGTTAAATATGTTTCATAGTAAACCGATGTTTATTTGCATAAAATCATATTACAATATTATAGCAATTTATTATAAACTAATTAATTATTTACTAAATACACAATTCAATTGGTATTCATTGGTGTCAAATTATAATAATATATTATAAATTTTTAATACATCACTTTACTGAAATTGCACTAAATTATTATTGATTTTTTTTACATTTTCTTCAGCTTTAATTATTGTGATAATTTTTATGTTTTTTTTTTTTATTCTTGTTTTATTGGCACATTTATAGAATTCGTATAGGCTAATTTGATGCGCTCACGCTCGCTTACTGTCGCCGTTGATGTCTGTCGGTTGACGTTTAGGCAGGCGACGTGCATGAATTTAATTACTTCTGAACAACTGCTGCTGCTACTAAACACTGCATCGAACTTACTGCAGCGCAGTTAATTAATTTCGTTTTATGTATTTCTTTTTTTTTTCCATACATGCCGAGTATATACATACATACATACATGTGTATACTTGCATTCACATATACATATACCCGTAATTATATATGCATATATGCATGTTAAACTTTCTCGTTCACCCCACCTATTTATTACACAGTTACATTTGTATATACATTTATTTTTCGTTTATTTCTTCTTAATTTTTATTCACTCAATACGTTTCCACCGTCAACGTAATTTGTACCTGTATACTCCGTATATTGTTGACACCCGCGTGTACGCGATTTCTGCGCTAAACTGAATTGGCTGCAGAGCACTAGCAGTGACAGTAGCAGTAGTGGCAAACCTGTTTCAAATCCTTTTCATGTTGTTATTGTTATTGCTGACGTAGCTGATTACGTAGCCGAGGCCATACTTGCGCATTGCGCCCATTTACTACACGACTGTGCCAAACATACGAGCGCCTGGGTGTTCGGCAACGCCTATTTGGCACAGCGGGGAAACACAAACGATTTTGATTGGCTGTTGTGCTAATGGCATGCATATGCACTTGGGCGAAGGCATTGAATGAGTGAGCACTTTGACTCGCTCTCACTCACTGCGCTTTCACTTTGATTATATGCCCATATTAAAGTGGCTCCTACTTTTTTATGTATGGATATGCATATATATTTATGTGTAGATGCTCTTTTATCCATATTGCTTGGTTGACCTTATTTTGTGAGTGTGTGTGTGTATGTGTGTATGTGTTCACCAGTGCTTATTCATGTGTACTAGATCGTAGATTCGCCAGGCATCAGTTGTGCTCCCATATGCTTCGCTTCATTTGCTTTTCATGATTTTATGAGCATTGTATGTAGTTACACGTGTACATATGTATGTATATATTATATAAATGTATGTAGATATACAAGATTTTTTATTTGTTTACTTCTTATTATTATTATTGTTGTTGTTGTAAGAGAAGCCTTGCTGTTTAGCTTTGTTCATTGTTGTTGTTGCGCTTGTTTCTATTGTAGTTCAGTGAAGCGTGCAGACATACGTTTGGGAAATTGCCCTCTTTCACCCCTTAAATTTCAGCAATTTGCATTTAATGTTTATTCGGGCTGTCAGTTGTTTCTCCAAAATGTTTCTGTTTGTCTCTATGTCTATATGTCAATTTGCACGTCCGTTTATCTACTTAGTAAATGGACATGTGTATGTTTGTACCTACGTGTATGTATGTATGTATTTAAGTAGATGTTCAAATTTTGTTCTGTTTGTTCAACTCATTTATTTAGCTGTCTAGCGTTTGTCCTCAGGATACCTGGAACGGTTCGACACCTGTGTTATCGCTAAAAGTTGATACATACACGTGCACATATCTAGTTATATTTTTTTGCACTTTTATATCCCTTATCATTAAGTAAATAATGATTTAAGTTGAAATTTGGTGAAATACGAAAATCTGCAGAAATAATAGTAGTGTGGGGCGTAAGCGTAGAAATCTAGAGTTTCTGTCAATTTTACCTTGGATTATTAACGCATTATTTTTATGTAATTATTATTAAATGATAATTATTTTGTTAATTTTTTGAGTAAAAAAGAGAGTATTATGCTCGGGTATTATTGCATTTGCCTCAGATCTCATTGTTAATTATCAAATAACTCGAAAACTATTTGAGGGATTTCAAGACAACGTTCAGTAGCTCCGTGTTCATTTCACGTGTACGCCGAAAAATGGACGAATGATTCCGCTGGTCCACATGTCGTATCAAATAGTGTTTTTTCAAGGTTATGTAGAAGACGAAATATTCCGGCAGAGCTTCCCATATTTCCTTACGATACACACTTCGCTTAGTCCTTTCCTACGTGGATCGTTTCTTGTGCAAAGTGCCCTTAGCTCCGGAAATTTTGGTCTCAGTGGTATTTTGTATTTCTCTTCTATGTCTTTTCTTTACTTTGGAGGCGAAGTTCTTTACCCTCTATGCTCTTAATTGGGATCTTATCTTTTGTTTGGAGAGGTTGGTTTACACTCAAACAAGAAGTGCCTCATCTCAATCATTTTATCTACGGAGTGGTGATGTCGCTTTTTTTGTACTTTAGTCCATTTGACGATGTCTTTTCGCTCCGCGCCCTCACAACTAACAGCTAGCAGAGCTCTAAGGCCCTTGAAGATATCTCTGACATTTTCATAATTGGAAACCGAGCTACTTCTTCTGTGTGCTGATGAGATTACTGTTGCGTCTTGTGGTCTAACGGTTCTGTTGCTTACTCTGCGAGTTTGATAATAGCTGCTTTCTCTGCTCTCTGTATTTCGGACTGGTCTGCTCGTTGAGCTCCGGCTTCTTTTTCGCCTACTCTGCTTCGATCATTATTTGTTTTGTTTGTAGATCATGTGGATTGCGAGGAGACGTTTTCTGCATTGTCTTTCGAGTAGACTAGGTGGGTGAAGCGAATAATGTTGTTTTCTTTCCTCTTTTTCTCTGATAAGCCTGAGCGGTGTGCTTCGTCATGAGTTAAATCAGCGAGTGAATAACTGCTCTGCGCTTATGTACTATGTATTTACGACTGACGGTATTCCTATTCTTGTCATTGCTTCTTATGTTTTTTTCTGGGCTTCGGCTAGTGGAGGAGATGGTAGGTACAAGCCTTATAGCCTATTTTGTTTCGCCTCCTCCATTGAGTTTCACTTATTTTGTTGTTGTTTTTCTTTTCTTTTTTTTATAGCATTTCATCTCGTTTGTACTTACGTCGCGGTCCAAACTAGATATGGGGAACCCAAAATGATACTCTACGGCAGCGCGACTTGTCGCAGTAAAACCCTGCTTACTTCTCGAGTTATCCCGGCGTCCAGAAGGCTCCTTTCGAATACACCTGGGCTTGCAACCCATCTAGCTGAAAAGCAACCAATGGGTAGGGACCGCGTAACACTCTGTCTTAGGAGGAGACGGCTCTTGTTCCCTTGGTCTGCTCATCAGTCCCTTCATACTCGTACATATACATATAGACAGACTTCGTGAACTTTATTTTACAATTTCTTTTATATCACACAGTAAATCTTGAGCCACTTTGATTTTCACAAAGAAAAATGACCATAAAAACTAGAAGACAAAATACATACCTGCATAACGGTCTGCGCTGTATACACCTGCTGTCAAAATAAAAGCACCGCCAGCATAAGAGATTTTAAAAAGGTAACAAACTCTTATTTATTCGAAAAAGGATTTTGTAGTTTTAGTTAAAATGAAAAAAAAAAAAATATGTACACATACCAGGGGATAAGTAAAAGTTCGATCAGTTAGTGACTTTCAATTTGCTTTTGTTAAACCTGAAACCAAATCCTTTGCAATTACTTTATTAGTCTTCCTTTCAAATTTTACAACGATCGGCGAAAAAGGAGACGAGAAAACGCAAGTTGGTTGAGGACAGGTCAGACGAAATTCTACCACCAATGCAAACAGAAATTCGCCATTCGAGGTTTGGCGTAATTTACAGCCAATATAAATATTCAAGGAATGCCAAATTGCATATGAAACGATTCCACAGTCTTTAAAAATTATTTCTAAGTGGCTCCAAAGATTCCAGACCGGACATTTTTTTGTAGAGAACGAGTCCCGAGAAGGTCGACCAAAATCTTCCATTGACGACATCACTGCAGCTCCGAAATTGACGAAAACCCACGGTTGACCCAAGAAATGATTGCTAATGAATTGGGCTTGAATACAATGGCTGTATCGCGAATATTATGTAATCATCTGGGATATGCGAAGAGAACTGCTCGATGGGTACCATGAATTTTAAACGAGGCCTAAAAAGAGGCTCAAGTGCATTTTGCTCAATTTTTCCTAAACAAATTGAAAAATGGTCAGTCTAGCGACTTTAGTAAGGTCGGTACTGGTGACGAATCTTGTTTCTGAAAGTACAATTCAGAACCCAAACAACAGTCCATGGTATGAGCCCAACAGGAGTAAGCTCACCTGTAAAATCTAAGCAACAAAAATCAGCAGCAAAAGTAATGATCCCAGTTTACTTCACCTCATCTAAAATCGGAGCTACTTTTCCACTGGAAAAGAGTCAGGCGGTCACTGCAAAATGGTACACCGAAGAGTGCTTACCAAAAGTTTTCAAACATTTGTTAGAAAACAGTAAGAAAGAGGATTTGTGCGCTACTTTTTACTTCATGACAATGTGCCATTCCACACTGCTGAAATAACGAGTAATTTTATTGTGTTGACTGGGATCGAAGACACACGTCCAGCGCTATATTCCCCAGCGCTAGCATCTTAAGATTCTTGGTTATTTCGAAAAATAAAAAAAAAGGTTAAACAGAAAGGTCTTTAATAGCAACGAGGAGATAATAAATTCGGTTAATGTTGAAGTTGATAAGCTTAAAAGGCAAGATTTTGAAGACTGTTTTCATTAGTGGATCTATAGACTTAAGAAATGCATTGAAATCAGTGGCGATTATTTAGAGAATTTAAAAAAGCACAAAGATTGCGAAATAATACAAAAAAACTCTTTTTTTCTGGTCAACTTAACGAACTTCGGAATTAAATTCGAATTAGTACCAAAAAATAGAGTTTTTTTTTCCA